CAGAGTGGAAAATTAGATGTTCTGAAAAAGAAATTACTTTAAGGAAACGAGTTTCAAGAAGATAGAACTTGTGACTTCTTTCAGATTATGAACGCTTCAGGTAGACAGACCCGATATCGCTACCACAAGGGTAATAGGGAATGCTATTTAAACCTCCTCTAAGAATATGACCGTTGCATGTAAACAAAACTTCATATCACCCAAGAATTGGACCAGTGAGGTAAACAAATTTACAAGTAGAGCCATACCTGTATATTATTATTCCTCATATATAACAGCTGGCCTGATTGGAAGATATTCAACATATGACGAGTGAATAAGACATGTGGTTCTCACGCGATTTCCTTTTTTGGATTCTATCAAGAAAAATGAGCGAAAGGCACTATACACTCATGTTCCGAGTATCAGGAGCTGACGATAACAGTGACACATAAGCCTATTCCTCTTTACTGTTGTGTAACTGCTCGATTTCGGTATATAATTAAGTATTCATTGCCCCTGTAATAGTTGTTGTACGACACACGATTCTTTTGTTTCCTCTCGATTATTTATGGTCCACTCGGACTACATGAAACAAGATTATTTCTGGGAACATAGAGTCACTGCCATACAACAATGACAATAAGTGGATATTATTAGACCTCATCTATGTAACAGCGTGTCTGATTGGATTATATTAATCACATGGCGGTAAAGAAAACGTGTTTCCCTCTTGCACTTCAATCTCCGGTGTCATATTGACCTTACTCTGAGCATCTATAGTAGAGTGAGCGAAAGGCACCCACCTGAGTTCCGAGTGACTGAAGCAGATGACAACAATGACGCGTTAGTCTTATAATCAAAGTTGTGTTATTGTTTTATCATAATAGAATGCTATATAGTATACATGTATTACAACCACCTGGGGCATACATACAATGTAATACCGTCTCCTTCATAAATATGTCCGTTTCAGTAAACAAATCCTCATATCACCCTACCATCACCATAAAATAATACTTATGCCTGAGCCAACTTCCGGAACCTTCCTTCCCCTGTTGGAATGACGCCATTGTATCTAGACTGCTACTGTCGGTGCAATAGCACTAGTGTTTACAAGTGTCAGGATTTTGTTATCCAAACTGTAGTTCCTCCCTAGTGATAATGACGTAATACTCGCCCCAGACAACACCTCTACTTCAGACATATATGATAACCTAGAGTCTGATGACTAATAAAGACGAAATAGTTTTATGTTTATTCCAGTCGGTTTTTAAGGAATATAGGGGTGGGTGGGGGTGGGGTGGGGTGGGTGTTCTCAACGCAGTTCTATCGTATTCTACTTTTATCGTACTTATTACGTATAATCTGTAACTCACAGTAAACAAAAACTATGCGGCAGTAAATAGAAAACATCGTTTTGATTGGACAATATTAAATCAATGCTAAAGAACTTATCATACTGATAATATTTCATATTTCACTGGTAAAATTGTAATAAATCTTCATCGTTGTGAGTTGACCATGTAAAGTTATTTTTTGGTCGTGCGTTGTCTCTTTGATGTATACTGCCATGCGTTGATAATATGATGTATTTTCCGTGTGTTGAAACTGTGCTTTTGATTGTATGCTCTGTATACTTTGTTGCTACATGTATGTGTTGACACTGTGGTATAATTTGTCGTTATGCGTTCGTGCTTTTTATCCAAGTGTGTTGACTTTTTGTTTTTGTGTGTTTACTCTTTGTTATATTTTGTTCTTGTGTGTTGTCTCAGTGTTATATTTTGTCCTTGTGTGTTGTCTCAGTGTTATATTTTGGCCTTGTGTGTTGTCTCAGTGTTATATTTTGTGTTTGTGTGTTGACATTGTGTTATATTTTGTCCTTTGTGTGTTGCCTCAGTGTTTTGTCTCTTTGTTATATTTTGTCTGTGTGTGTTGTCTCTGTGTTATATTTTGTCCGTGTGTGTTGTTTCAGTGTTATATTTTGTCCTTTTGTGTTGTCTCCGTGTTATATTTTGTCCTTTGTGTGTTGTCTCAGTGTTATATTTTGTCCTTGTGTGTTGACATTGTGTTATATTTTGTCCTTTGTGTGTTGCCTCAGTGTTTTGTCTCTGTGTTATATTTTGTCCGTGTGTTTGTCTCTGTGTTACATTTTGTCTTTGTGTGTTGACCTTGTGTTATATTTTGTCCTTTGTGTGTTGCCTCAGTGTTTTGTCTCTGTGTTATATTTTGTCCGTGTGTTTGTCTCTGTGTTACATTTTGTCTTTGTGTGTTGACCTTGTGTTATATTTTGTCCTTTGTGTGTTGCCTCAGTGTTTTGTCTCTGTGTTATATTTTGTCCGTGTGTGTTGTCTCAGTGTTATATTTTGTCCTTGTGTGTTGACATTGTGTTATATTTTGTCCTTTGTGTGTTGCCTCAGTGTTTTGTCTCTGTGTTATATTTTGTCCGTGTGTGTTGTCTCAGTGTTATATTTTGTCCTTATGTGTTGTCTCCGTGTTATATTTTGTCCTTGTGTGTTGTCTCTGTGTTATATTTTGTCCGTGTGTGTTGTCTCAGTGTTATATTTTGACCTTTGTGTGTTGACATTGTGTTATATTTTGTCCTTTGTGTGTTGCCTCAGTGTTTTGTCTATGTGTTATATTTTGTCCGTGTGTGTTGTCTCTGTGTTATATTTTGTGTTTGTGTGTTGACATTGTGTTATATTTTGTCCTTTGTGTGTTGCCTAAGTGTTTTGTCTCGGTGTTATATTTTGTCCGTTTGTGTTGTCTCTGTGTTATATTTTGTGTTTGTGTGTTGACATTGTGTTATATTTTGTCCTTTGTGTGTTGCCTCAGTGTTTTGTCTCTGTGTTATATTTTGTCCATTTGTGTTGTCCCAGTGTTATATTTTGTCCTTTTGTGTTGTCTCCGTGTTATATTTTGTCCTTGTGTGTTGTCTCTGTGTTATATTTTGTCCGTGTGTGTTGTCTCAGTGTTATATTTTGACCTTTTGTGTGGACATTGTGTTATATTTTGTCCTTTGTGTGTTGTCTCTGTGTTATATTTATTCCGTTTGTGTTGACTCTGTGGTACAGTCTGTCATTAGTGTTGACTTTGTGATATATTTGTTTGTTGTATGTTGACGTCTTGATAAGTTTTTGTCATTGTGTGTTGACGCAGTGGTATATTTTCTTGTTGCGCGTTGACGTTGTACATGTAGTATGCTTTTGTCATTGTGTGTTGACGCTGTGTCATATTCCTTTGTGTGTTGATGACGTGGTATGTTGTTATTACAAGCCAACAATCCAACTGCTGAAAATAGAATGGCCTATTAACAAGTCCGACTGTAAACAAAGAAATTAGTCAAAATTTGGATTACAGCCGTGAAAACGAATAAGACGTTGTCGAGGTCTTATTTTTTTACCAATTACCACGCAAGCCGTACCAGTCAGTGAAGACTTTCTTAGTGGAAACTAAAGTTTAGTTTTTTGTTTATTCATGTTAGTGAGCTTACAAGAAACACATGTGAACGTAATCGAAATTGTTGACTTTCATATCGCAAAAACGAAATGAAACATTTCCTGATGAAGTAATGATGTCTTCCGTAAACTCTGTATTCGCTGATGCCCCACGCTACAAGCCTGACCACCATAACTTAACATACCGCAGCAACCGAAATACGTGAGCAATTCCTCGGACACTAAATCAGCCATGACTTGCAACTATTTGAGATGGGGGAAGCAGATATATTTACCACCAAGAAAGGGAACGTTCAAGTTTGGAAACAGCTGAGTAGTAAGCCGTCCTCGTCGGCAAGGTTTTCATTTCAGATCGAAGAAAATGATGGCTGGAAAATAGTCTGTAGTGTCCCATTTTTCAAACTCATGAGGATACAAACGTTCGGAGTTGTCTTGTTATTTAAAGACAACATACCGTCGATACATCGAAAAGCGATACCTAGCATGGTCTTTGATACATGTCCTGATAATCTGTTCTGCGAAGCCAGCCACATTTGAAAGCTGGAAGGAGTCGGAAAAGTGTGTCAACATGTTGCTGGACAAATCTGGCCACCAAATTAACCAAGGCATTGTCACCATTTGTATGCAATCATTATCATTTCAATGTTGTTATGCTCCAGGTTATCTTTTGTCTTCCTTTTTCACCAAATGTGTTTCGAAATTGTTCTAAATCATATATTTGTATTGTAACTGGCCTTTCATGGAAAGATAGGGTATGGTAGTGTACATAACAGAACAGTTAAAACGTTCTGATAAAAGAAGTACACTCTTCCGGAACACCCGGTCTTATTCTACCTGTTACCTACCTAAATCTTTCCTTTGTTCATATTTGCCCTAGTTTATCTAATTTGAGTATGAATTATGATTTTGTTGACGCCTAAGTATTGTCTTGTTGCTTTTTTTGAGAAGAGGATATTCTAGATTGATCAAAATATTTTCCAGTTAGTATAAATTGTTATTTCATATATTAGAATGTATTTGGTAAAATACGTGAATGCATGGCTGTTATTGTGTTAGAATACACTTGGAAAAGTACGTTTATCATGTTTGTTAGAATACACTTGGAAAAGTACCGTTATTATATTTGTAAGAAAACACTTGGAATAGTACCGTCATACATAGTTGTTGCACTTGGAAACAGTAACGTTATACATGGTGGTTAAAATACTCTGGCAACATCCACTATTTCCATGCTTCAATAGAAATACAATAATGAAATACACAAAAGGCATTCTATAACATTTTGGACTGTGGATAAATAACATGTGAGATATCAGTTCATCAATTGGGAATCAACCTTGATGCGACCATGAGTAAAGGTTTGCAACTTGTGAGAAGGGAAAGACCAGATGACTTGACTTGGATGCACAATCGACCCCACCATGACCTGCATGTCTGCTCTCGTACACTACATTGTCTCACACTGTACAAATTATCACGCAGAATCAGGCTGACTTCATTCGTGGGTTGGCCTTCTACCGGAAAGTGGTACTCGAATATTAATCTCCACTCAGCGTACTTAGCAGGCATCCTATCGTGAAGGTGAAAATTATAACTGGTGACATCGCCCCCACAGACACATATATACTCGGCCCTGGCCACCACAGACCAAATCCGTCACAGGACCATTTGGCGACCAATACGTGACACCATGTGGTCCCCCATATTGATTGTAATGGCGATCTTGTTGATGGTAAGCTTATAACTAATGTGGTAGTTATTTAAATCAAAATTATCATATCGCCTTTTTCTCAACGAATGTATCCATATAAAGTAATATATTCTCCTTTGTTGAACAGGGGTATTACTTTCTCATAAAAATACCTTATCAAATATTATTAGTGGTTTCATAATCATTCTCAATCACTAACTTGTATCATATATATTTTTAGCAATTTATGCAATTTTGGACGTAGACTGCAATTTAAAGAATTTACTTATTTTCGATGAAAAAACCACGTACAACACTATTTTCTATGATTAGTTTTTTTCCTTTAATTTCTCTTCAGTTTGGAGTCGATGCTGCACCTCAGCCCACAGCCGGTAAGTTATATATTAAGTTCTTTCCGCCACGGAGACAATCGTGCGATTGTTTCTTTTGTTGTTCCTGCTGATTAGGTTTTTTTGTTGTTTAGAATGATTACAAGTTTCTGATGCTTTTCACGTCGTATTTTATCATATAAAATCTCCTATGTGCATTTAACAGTAACCGACTCTCATCACCGATATCAAACTTGATGTATTGTTTTATCATGTTTGTGGAGCAGTCATCGGTTGACAATCTGCGCGTCGAAAGGCATGATTGAACGAGTGAAACTATATAAGTGATATATGAGGACATTGTTTGCTGCGCATATTTAATGAAAACCTTTTAACAAATGAACGGAATATTGATAGACAGTCAAATATGCATGTAATGATAGCAAAAGGGGATAATGCAAAGCGATAGATTTTGATAAGGTAAAAGATTTGCTGTTTTATTTAACAAAAATATTTTAACAAAGATAAGGAAGGCACTAATTGTAGTATTTTACAATCAAATTCGTCCACGTTAACTTATCTAATATACTATGTTTGTTTTAAATCGATTGTACTTCATCCAATTTGATTTGTTTTCCCCTTTTGATTTGTACAAGTTCCAAATACATACCAAAGTTATAGAAACTATGGCCTCCCGTGTATCCTCTGTTGCTTTTGCTGTTTATTTTACGTTGGTGTATCCTCTGTTGCTGTGGTAGTTAATGTTTTACGTTGGTGTATCCTCTGTTGCTGTTGTAATTTAAATTTAACGTTGGTGTATCCTCTGTTGCTGTTGTAGTTTATGTTTTACGTTGGCGTATGCTCTGTTGCTGTTGTAGTTTATATTTTTACGTTGGTGTATCTTCTGTTGCTGTTGTAGTTTATATTTTACGTTTGTGTAGCCTCTGTTGCTGTTGTAGTTTATAATTTACGTTGTCGTATCTTCTGTTGCTGTTGTAGTTTATATTTTACGTTTGTGTAGCCTCTGTTGCTGTTGTAGTTTATAATTTACGTTGTCGTATCTTCTGTTGCTGTTGTAGTTTATATTTTTACGTTGGTGTATCTTCTGTTGCTGTTGTCGTTTATATTTTACGTTTGTGTAGCCTCTGTTGCTGTTGTAGTTTATAATTTACGTTGTCGTATCTTCTGTTGCTGTTGTAGTTTATATTTTACGTTGGTGTATCCTCTGTTGCTTTTGCTGTTTATTTTACGTTGGTGTATCCTCTGTTGCTGTGGTAGTTAATGTTTTACGTTGGTGTATCCTCTGTTGCTGTTGTAGTTTATTTTTTACGTTGGCGTATCCTCTGTTGCTGTTGTAGGTTATATTTTACGTTGGTGTATCCTCTGTTGCTGTTGTAGTTTATGTTTTACGTTGGCGTATGCTCTGTTGCTGTTGTAGTTTATATTTTTACGTTGGTGTATCTTCTGTTGCTGTTGTAGTTTATATTTTACGTTTGTGTAGCCTCTGTTGCTGTTGTAGTTTATAATTTACGTTGTCGTATCTTCTGTTGCTGTTGTAGTTTATATTTTACGTTGGTGTAGCCTCTGTTGCTGTTGTAGTTTATATTTTACGTTGGCGTATCCTCTGTTGCTGTTGTAGTTTATATTTTACGTCGGTGTATCCTCTGTTGCTGTTGTAGTTTATATTTTACGTTGGCGTATCCTCTGTTGCTGTTTTAGTTTATATTTTACGTTAGTGTATCCTCTGTTGCTTTTGCTTTTTATTTTACGTTGGCGTATCCTCTGTTGCTGTTGTAGGTTATATTTTACGTTAGTGTATCCTCTGTTGCTGTTGTAATTTAAATTTAACGTTGGTGTATCCTCTGTTGCTGTTGTAGTTTATTTTTTACGTTGGCGTATCCTCTGTTGCTGTTGTAGTTTATGTTTTACGTTGGCGTATACTCTGTTGCTGTTGTAGTTTATATTTTACTTTGGCGTATCCTCTGTTGCTGTTGTAGTTTATAGTTTACGTTGGCGTATCATCTGTTGATGTTGTAGTTTATATTTTACGTTGGTGTATCCTCTGTTGATGTTGTAGTTTATATTTTACCTTGGCGTATACTCTGTTGCTGTTGTAGTTTATGTTTACATACCAAAGTTATAGAAACTATGGCCTCCCGTGTATCCTCTGTTGCTTTTGCTGTTTATTTTACGTTGGTGTATCCTCTGTTGATGTTGTAGTTTATATTTTACCTTGGCGTATACTCTGTTGCTGTTGTAGTTTATGTTTACATACCAAAGTTATAGAAACTATGGCCTCCCGTGTATCCTCTGTTGCTTTTGCTGTTTATTTTACGTAGGCGTATCCTCTGCTGCTGTTGTAGTTTATAGTTTACGTTGGTGTATCTTCTGTTGCTGTTGTAGTTTATATTTTTACGTTGGTGTATCTTCTGTTGCTGTTGTCGTTTATATTTTACGTTTGTGTAGCCTCTGTTGCTGTTGTAGTTTATAATTTACGTTGTCGTATCTTCTGTTGCTGTTGTAGTTTATATTTTACGTTGGTCTAGCCTCTGTTGCTGTTGTAGTTTATAGTTAACGTTACCGTATCATCTATCGCTGCTGTAGGTTAAATTTTACCTTGGCGTATACTCTGTTGCTGTTGTAGTTTATGTTTAACGTTAGTGTATCCTCTGTTGCTGTTGTAGTTTATAGTTTACGTTGGAGTATCCTCTGTTGCCGTTGTAGTTTATATTTTTACGTTGGTGTATCTTCTGTTGCTGTTGTAGTTTATATTTTTACGTTGGTGTATCTTCTGTTGCTGTTGTAGTTTATATTTTACGTTGGTGTAGCCTCTGTTGCTGTTGTAGTTTATAGTTTACGTTGTCGTATCCTCTGTTGCTGTTGTAGTTTATATTTTACGTTGGTGTATCCTCTGTTGCTGTTGTAGTTTATGTTTTACGTTGGCGTATCCTCTGTTGCTGTTGTAGTTTATATTTTACGTTGGCGTATCCTCTGTTGCTGTTTTAGTTTGTATTGTTACGTTGGTGTATCCCTCGACCCTGATTTTTTTTTTAAAATAATACAAAGAAATCGCTAGCATTCCAAAGCTAAGCTAAATAATACTCCAGCTTCTTGGGCAAAATCTAGATTTATTCGGAATGAAGTTATTGCATTAGTCCGGAAAGCTAAAGATACAAATTATCTAAACTTCAATCTTCTTTAATTGATAAGTCCATACCCCCGAAAAACGGTGGCGTATTGCAAAATTGGCTATAAATTTCAAAAACAAAAGGGAAAACGACTCTCCATTGGTTATCAACGCCGAACTGAAAATCCACCCTATAGATAAAGCCTGAAGACCAATCTTTTAACGACTACTTAACTTCGATTTCCGTAACTGAAAAAAAATGTTGTCCCCGACACCGACATTACTTTTCAAAAATAGACATATCCGAACAGCACATTGCTTATCAACCTTTACTCAATACTAAAAAACCTTCAGGCCCTGATGGTATCTCTCCAAAGTTCATAAAAGGGGTTTTCCAATCTCTTGTGAAACAACTGCCGGAAAGCTACCAAATAGATGGGAAAATGCTCATGTTACCCCAATTTATAAGGGTAACGTAGATAGAAGTGATCCATCCAACTATAAACCCAATATCTGTTATCCCTATATTCAGCAAGCTGTCTGAAAAAAATAGTTTTTAAGTATATGTTCAATTACTTCTCAAGATATAACATTATTTCTAAGAATCAGTCAGGATTTTACCTAAGGATTCCACAGTGTATCAACTATTAATTATATACGATGAAATTATAAAACATATAGACAAAGGCAAAGAGGTCATAATGAATTTCTGTGATATTAGCAAAGCCTTTGACAGAGTTTGGCATGACGGTCTAATCTATAAACTGAAAAATATGATATATGTTATAATATGTAGAATGGTTCACATCATACCTTCATGATAGGCAACAGCGAGTGGTCATAGCTGCTGGGTTTAAGTCTAATTAGAAAACATTACAGGTAGGGGACCTCAAGGTTCAATCCTCGGTCCATTTTTGTTTTTATTATATATAAATGATGAATTGGCCTCAAACGTCAAACTATTTGCTGATGACACCTCCTTTTAGGGTCTGAATGAAGGAGACGGGCAAAAATGTGCTAATATATTAAATGACGATCTAAGGAAAATTTCAATCTGAGCTAGAAAATGGGGAATTATCTTTAATCCAGATAAAACTGTAGCCCTGCTCTTCTCGAGGCGGGTTGACTCTGAGACACTGCATCCTAACCTATATTTTGATGAACCACCAATTATCAATGTTTCTAATCATAAACACCTAGGTTTGTTTTTCAATAGCAAGGTTAATTGGTAATTAATATACTTAGAATGTTGAAATACAAAATTTATTGAAATTCACTTGCAACTATATTATATCACATCCATACGTCCAATTCTGGAATACGCAAATATTATATGGGCAAACTGTACACAGAATGAATGCAATATCTTGGAGTCTATCCAACTAGAAGCAGCACGTATTATTGCAGGGTTAAGACGTGGAACAAGTCATGATATCTTATATAGAGAATCTGGTTTTATAACACATAATGGAAGAAGACATTTGCATAAAACCATTACTTTTCATAAAATATATAATAAGAAATGCCCCTCTCATGTCTATGCTATAATTCAACAGTACATTAACAACAATACTGACAATTTCCATCTTCGCCACAATAAAATTATTGCTGTTCCTATACCTAGAACTCTGTTATATACTGCCGGTTTTTCTCCGAAACTGATGTCTGAATGGAATATTCCAACTTGCCTGTTTCCCACAATGACATCAATTGGAAAAATAAAAAGATATTTTTTACACTGATTCTCAACCCCAATGTACTGATATTTCTTAAATACCATGGTGATCGAAAAATTAAATTATACCTTTTGTCAACTTAGAAACTGTGCCAGTAACCTGAATTCAGATCTATTTGAATATCACCTAATTGATACCCCTGCCTGCTTATGTAATGTTCCTGCTGAGGATTGTTATCACTTCTTTCTCAACTGATCTGCATATATTAATCAAATGCAAGTTACTTACTTGTTTATCTTTTTTCACGACTTTGCTGTGTGGAATGATACAAGCACATACTTGTACTATGTGCTGTCTACCAGCATCATTTGCCTACTTTTTGTATAATTTAGTTTCTGTAACAACAGTTTCCAAAAACATAATAATGACATACTAGTACAATTATCAATAGATATATAATATTTAAGCATTGAACTGTTTTTGTATGGTATTTATGATCTATTTGAATGACACAGCTTTGCAAGCAAACAAATCATAATGCGCGCTATAGATCATAAATACCATACAAAAACAGTTCAATACTTATATTTACGTTTTCTCTGCCTCTTATGTTCTTTTTCAACTTATAATTTATATTTAAAATTAAAAATGCCCGCCTTATCGACAGTCCACACAATTTCGTTCAATAGTTTGAACAGCGTATTGTCGCGTGCTGATTGGCAAACAAAGTAGTACTTTNCGTCATGTTTATTTATATTGGACATTGTAGTTTCTGTCAGTGTTGTATTAATACGCTTAGAATTGTGTCTCGTGATGCATGGTAATTAAAGTCCCATCAACGACACAGCTTTCAAAGAGGCTATATAGTGACAATGCCATGCAAATGTAAATAGATATGTTTTACCATTACTTCAATTCAATATGATGTGAGTAAACTGTTTATTACTGTTAGGAGAGGACGCTCATAGGCTTTGCCTGTTGCCCGATTCCTTCGTATCTAAGTTTAACAATAAATATTCTAAAATGAAAAGAAAAAGAAAAAGAAAAGAAACTATGTTAAGATCTGATTTCTCTGTTTATACAGTCACACAATGTGCTCCAATGGACGTCGTGTTCCTGCTGGATAGCTCTAAGAGTGTTAGGGGCCAAGACTTTGACAAACAGCTTAAGTTCGCCAATGATATAGTTGACCGACTAGATGTTGGGCCGGGACCGAACCAGACCAGGGTCGGTGTCATCAGTATTGGTTACACGTACCTGCTTCAGTTCTACCTGCAGACACACAAAACCAGGGAGGATGTCAAAACGGCTATTAGTCATATCCGACATCGCTTCTCGTACGAAACCAACACAGGTGCCTCCATCCGATTCATGACACGGTACATGTTCCGACCATTCTTTGGCGGCCGACCAGGTGCAACACGAGTCGCCATTGTCATAACGGACGGACTGTCCCAGGATCAAAAGAGTACCAGGTTCGAGGCTCTCCTCGCTAGGAAAAAGGGCATCAAGATGTTTGCCATCGGTGTCGGACTGAAGAAAGAAAGCGAACTTCTCAGCATTGGTAACTGGCCTACTGACGACTATGTGTTCAAGGTGGACAGCTTTGATGCTCTTCCTTCTGTTATATTCAATTTGCCAAAGTCCTCTTGTGAAGGTGAGTACATTTATCTATCGATTTATGCATTGAAAGATTCACTAGGATATTTATATAAACATATGCAAATCATTTCAGTACCAATTATTCGCAGGCAAAGAAGCCTATGAAGGGAATGCAAAACAAAGTTTCCTATCAAGGTTTTGGTTATGATATTATTTTTTTGTTTTTTGTGTCTTAGAAGTCTGTAAAGCATTTTTTTTTTTTTTGCGTCAACTATTGGTACATTTTTTCTATGTGTATGATCATATGGTATACGTTGTAACGAGCAGACATACGCCTTATGGATCCAGATTATTTATTTACAATATCACATATGTATCCAGCGGTTTCAAAATCCAGTCTCTTGAGATGTCAATAAAACTGATTAGATAAATGATGTTTGGCTTTAAGCCTGCGACTTATTGCACTCTCATTTTATATATTTTGGAAACTGGACATCGGGATCATGAAATCGATTTCCCCCCACACTTTGAGGATTTTATTTCTTTTAAACAAAAAAGCCAAACCCTGGAACTGCATTTCTTCATTTTCTTTATGTTCCTCTTGTCATTTAAGCATTATCTTGGATAATCATTCTCATTGGTTTAAAAGCAATTTTGCTGGCTGATTAAAAAACCCATTTTAGTGACACTTAAGCCCACATAGATGACACTTCATAAACAATGAGTACAGAAGAGATCCTGACAAGCAGCATGCTCTCTGATAGGTCCAGACAAGTCCTTTTATCTTATACTTGACACAGAAACGACTTGCTCTCACACTTGAAAAATGAATTCTGTCGATGAGCAAAGAAAAACATGCATAATGATGTTTTTAAGGGTATACTCCTGTTCTTGTCTTACAAAATAGACAGATCACATCCTCTGAAAGATCGCGATCAATCGTATCTACGTTGTGTGATACTAGACATGTCCTTGACCTGTCAATGAGGCTCCAAAGACTGTCTATTAAAACGTACTATATACCCTTTATAGGTCCTAGATATGTACCATGTGCCCTTTATAGGTCCTAGATATGTACCATGTATCCTTTATAGGTCCTAGATATGTACAATGTGCCCTTTATAGGTCCTAGATATGTACCAAATACCCCGTATAGGTCCTAGATATGTATCACGTACCCTGTATAGGTCCTAGATATTTACCATATACTCTTTATAGGTAATAGATACGTGCCACATACCATTTAAAGGTATAGATACGTACCATATACCCTTTATAGGTAATAGATACGTACCACATACCATTTAAAGGTATAGATACGTACCATATACCATGTATAGGTCCTAAATACGTGCCACATACCATTTAAAGGTCTAGATATGTACTATATACCCTGTATAGGTCCTAAATACGTACCATATACCCTTTGTAGGTCCTAGATACGTACCATATACCCTTTACAGAACTTATATATGAATTACAACACTGACTTTAACAGCAAACTGTTACACGGAAAAGATGCAGATAACATTTATTACGCTTTATATTAGGATTATAACACAGATACTTAGCAAACGGTTTAAACACTTACTATATAATAGTATACAAATTAAAAACAATTCAATACATATTCAATAATTCCTCAAGAGAAGAAACATTTTCGATTTTCGAGTAAAACTTTCACTTATAGGTATTTCATGTGTGAAAATGTCGTTTTCTAAATAAAAATATGTCATTTAACTGTAATTTTGGTGACGATGTATTTTTTCTAAAACTTCCTTGTTTAAGTCATTGAAATGGTGGGCGTGGTACATGACACACGCTATGTCGCAGGAGACTTAGTGTATGAACAGATTTCCGATAGTGTCAGTCTTTATATATCAGAATTTCCCGTTTAAAGCGTGAACTCCAGGAAACTAATACTAGAACCGACACTAGAAACAAGGGTTTTGTTTATGCTTACAGTATCTCTCTAATTGACCTACTTGTAGAATCCACGATCTTCAAGCATTTCTCCATTTTAATCTCTCCGAACAAAATGGTTCATAATGTTCAGTTGTTTTCAGTAGTAAATGCTACCGGACCTAATATACAATATTATTTGTTTCATTCATTAATTTGATATACGAGACATTTATAATTACATTAATTCATGAAATAAGAGAAATGAAAGATTCAATTTCGTATATTATGTTTCAATAACTATTTTAATTTATAGAAAAAACATGTATTCTCATGTATAACGATGTTTCTTTCTTGTCTTGATGCAGTGGCTGCCATGACAACACAACGTCCAGTACCAACAAAACGATTCACACTCGCGCCGCTCATCTTCAACACGTTAAAATTTGTGCCACCAAAGACACGTGCCCCCATGACTCCTGCGCTGTCATCAGACAAACAGACATACAGAAATTCTTTATTTCCTGTTGTTAGAGATTACAAATTACGCGGTCAATATTTATCCAAAACAACTACAAATCCACAATCTACAATAGCACCAACAAACCGTGGCCCATATCCAGCTGGGTCGACCACAAACCCACCATCTACACCAGCACCAACAACTCGTGGTTCAGATTTAACCAATTCAACCACAAACCCGCCATCTACACCAGCACCGACAACTCATGGTTTAGATTTAACCGATTCAACCACAAACCCGCCATCTACACCAGCACCGACAACTCGTGGTTCAGATTTAACCGATTCAACCACAAACCCGCCATCTACACCATCACCGACAAGTCATGGTTCAGATTTAACCGATTCAACCACAAACCTACCATCTACACCAGCACCGACAACTCGTGGTTCAGATTTAACCGATTCAACCACAAACCCGCCATCAACACCAGCACCGACAACTCATGGTTCAGATTTAACCGATTCAACCACGAACCCGCCATCTACACCAGCACCGACAACTCGTGGTTCAAATTTAACCGATTCAACCACTAACCCGCCATCTACACCAGCACCGACAACTCGTAGCGCGTCTTCATCCGATTCAACAACAGTTTTTTCTTCAACAAAATCACCCTCAACCAGTGATTCGTCCACCAAATCTTCACATCAACCACAAGAACCTGTTTCAGACGCACCATTTTCAGTTGAGCAAGCCCCTGAGGATTTATTTGGTATGTCAGAATTTAACGAACCAGTAGAGATCAGCAACGCTCCGACAAAGACGGTGTCTGAGACAAGAGTAATAAACTACCGGCCTTTTAAGAAGCAAATTAAGAAACATTTCAAGAAAAAGCGAAAGGGCAATGATGTATCCAACGTGATCACTAACAACAAATACAGACGTGGCCCGGCTCCACGTCAACAAATGGCTGAACTTCAGTACGACGACACGATGGAAAACGACAGGAGGATTTGGTCAATGATGATGGGGTCTCCCTCAGCACTGGACAATCTCTCCAACAAGCTGTCTCGTGACGTAGCTATTGCAGACGAGCCGAAACAATGTAAGTATCCAAGAAATAGAATGTCCTGCCGAAACAGTGTAAGTATTCCAGAAATAGAATGTACTGCCGAAACAATGTAAGTACCCCTGAAATAGATTGTACTGCCGAAACAATGTAAGTAACACAGAAATATAATGTACTGCCGAAACAATGTAAGTAACACAGAAATATAATGTACTGCCGAAACAATGTAAGTAACACAGAAATAGATTGTACTGCCGAAACAATTTAAGTAACCCAGAAAAAGAATGTTCTGCCGAAACAATGTAAGTATCCCAGAAATAGAATGTACTGCCGAAACAATGTAAGTATCCCAGAAATAGATTGTACTGCCGAAACAATGTAAGTAACCCAGACATGAAATGTACTGCTGTCAACGAAAAAGAATCGAAATTGACATAGACAATAGTTAAAGTTTATATAAGGCGGTTAAGCTTCAGTAAAGAAGTATACAGATATAAGTAACAGTGTATGATGTTTCATACTTCTATAGTGAATTTCACAAAGAGGCCGACAGGTGACAGGATATGTAAGTATATGCGAATGTGTAGATATTGAGAAGGTTATAAATACTAACTGGCGTATACATATACGCAGGTACATCTTCCAGACAACACAGAAGATATGTTCAGAGTTACACAGTTCTTTCTTCGTAGTTGTATTTAATTAATTGATGAAGCGGGCAGATTAATACGACACTGATTATGGTGTATAAGATTGTGTTACACGGTCAGTGATAGGATTACTGATACATAAATAATGGTGTATAACATTGTGTTACATGGTCAGTGATAGGTTTACTGATAAATAAGTAACGGGGTATAACAATGTGTTACATGGTCAGTGATAGGATTACTGATAAATAAGTAACGGTGTATAACAATGTGTTACATGGTCGGTGATAGGATTACTGATACATAAGTAATGGTGTATAACATTGTGTTACACGGTCAGTGATAGGATTACTGATACATAAATAATGGTGTATAACATTGTGTTACATGGTCAGTGATAGGATTTCTGATACATAAGTAATGGTGTATAACAATGTGTTACACGGTCAGTGATAGGATTACTGCTACATAAATAATGGTGTATAACATTGTGTTACAGGTCAGTGATAGGATTACTGATACATAAGTAATGGTGTATAACAATGTGTTACACGGTCAGCGATAGGATTACTGATACATAAGTAATAGTGTTTAACATTGTGTTACACAGTCAGTGATATGATTACTGCTAAATAAATAATGGTGTATACCATTGTGTTACATGGTCATTTATAGGGTTACTGATACATAAGTAATGGTGTACAACAATGTGTTACACGGTCAGTGTTAGTATTACTGATCCATAAGTAATGGTGTATAACAATGTGTTACGCGGTCAGTGTTAGGATTACTGATACCTAAGTAATGGTGTATAACAATGTGTTCCACGGTCAGTGTTAGGATCACTGATACATAAGTAATGGTGTAATACAATGTTATACACCATTACTTATGGATCAGTAATCCTAACACTGACCGTGTAACAAAATGTTATACACCATTACTTATGTATAAGTAATCCTATCACTGACCGTGTAACACAATCTTATACACCATTACTTATGTATCATTAATCCTATCACTGACCATGTAACACAATGTTATACACCATTACTTAGGTATCAGTAATCCTATCATTGACCGTGTAACACAATGTTATACACCGTTACTTATGTATAAGTAATCCTATCACTGACCGTGTAACACATTGGTATACACCATTACTTATGTATCAGTACTCCTATCACTGACCGTGTAACACATTGGTATACACCATTACTTATGTATCATTAATCCTATCACTGACCATGTAACACAATCTTATAAACCATTACTTATGTATCAGTAATCCTACCACTGACCTGTAACACAATGTTATACACAATTACTTATGTATCAGTAACCCTATCACCGACCGTGTAACACAATGTTATACACCATAACTTATGTATCAGTAATCCTAACACCGACCGTGTAACACATTGTTATACACAATTACTTATGTATCAGTAACCCTATCACTGACCATGTAACACAATGTTATACACCATTACTAATGTATCAGTAATCCTAACACTGACAGTGTAACACATTGTTATACACAATTACTTATGTATCAGTAATCCTATCGCTGACCGTGTAACACATTGTTATACTCCATTACTTATGTATCAGTAATCCTACCACTGACCTGTAACACAATGTTATACACAATTACTTATGTATCAGTAATCCTAACCCTGACCGTGTAACACATTGTTATACATCATTATTTATGTATCAGTAATCCTACCACTGACCTGTAACACAATGTTATACACCATTACTTGTGTATCAGTAATCCTAACACTGACCGTGTAGCACATTGTTATACACCATTACTTATGGATCAGTAATCCTAACACTGACCGTGTAACAAAATGTTATACACCATTACTTATGTATAAGTAATCCTAACACTGACCGTGAAACACATTGTTATACACCATTACTTATGGATCAGTAATCCTATCACTGACCGTGTAACGCAATGTTATACACCATTATTTATGTAGCAGTAATCCTATCACTGACCGTGTAATACAATGGAAGACACCATTACTTATGTATCAGTAATCCTACCACTGACCTGTAACACAATGTTATACACCATTACTGATACATAAGTAATGGTGTACAACAATGTGTTACACGGTCAGTGTTTGGATTACTGATACATAATTAATGGTGTATAACATTGTGTTACATGGTCAGTGATAGGATTACTGATTACTTAAGTAATGGTGTGGAAGTCCCTCCTCTGCGAATGAAAATCTATATTTTCAACTTCTGTAATATGACTGTCGTTTTCATAGTTTCTGACGGTTAAGTCCTATTATTCGGACATTTTTCTTACAGTGGATTATAACATTTTGAAAATGGCTTGATTTCGCCAACCTATTTTCAGAATGTTCTATTTTGCCCCCTGTGCCTGTTGTGTTTCCATGCCGCATTAAGGTTCAAATCCTTCCTTGTAAATTTCGTTACCCATTTTACGTCATTCTCCTTCAATTTCGCCCTACATATCGTAAAGACGTAGAGAGAACTAGTACATGGTATGTATGTTACCATACTCAAAAGACAAGTGGTCACGGGGCGTCTACTGTACTTATAAACCGGAAAAGGCACATCATGGCGGAGGTTAAAAGGACGCTGTCCTTCATCTGCCTCCTTCCTATGAAAGGCATTCAGCCTGCCCGAGCTCATTAGTGGAGAAATAATTGTACAAATATTTCGTGTGCACACCGGTATTTGAAATAATTGAATATATGATAAATGAAACATTTAATAGAAACCATGTCATACCAATGTTAAATATCGCTTCACCAGTAATAACATATCTTTTCTATAGATAAATACAACTGGTTAGGAATAATCGTCACTAGATAAAGTGTCGTATATAACCAGGTATCTAAATAAACAGTCTCCTATGAAAGGATGCTGTTTAAATTGAAGGTGGATAGGAAAATAATTCAGCTTATTTTCTGCAACTATGGAGAAGATTTGTGAAAACAGTCAATTTTGTTTTGTATTTGTTGATAAAAAAACCCGGTTAGTACTGATACGCCGATTGTTTGATTTTGTCGAGTTTCTGATGTTGTTTCATCCATTGTTTTTACAGACTGTGGCGGTAAGAATGCTGACGTGTTCTTTGCCCTTGATTCCTCAAATAGCATCTGGCCAGAGGACTTCAAGAAACAGCTTCAGTTCGTCACCGATCTCGTTGACACGTTTGACTTCAGGAATAACAAAACCAGGGTCGGCATCATAGTATATAGTACAGACATTCACATGAAGGTGGCGCTGCAGTCGGGCTGGACAAAGGAGCAGATCAAGCGACAGATTAGTAATATAGAATATGTAAGCGGACTGACCAATACTTCAGATGCCATACGATTCATCCGCTCTTATGGTTTTACTGAGGCAAATGAAAGGGAAGACACTATTAAAATAGCGATCATTCTGACTGACGGAATTTCACGTGACCCCTTAGCAACAAAGCGCGAGTCCGTACTGAGTAGAGAAGAAGGCATCAAGCTGTTTGCTATAGGAATCGGTAAAGACATCCAAAGGACAGAACTAAAGCGCATTGCAAACGATCCAGACGACAAGTATGTGTTTAACGTCAGCAGCTTTGATGCACTAGCCTCAATCAGGAGTATCGTAGCTGTCAGTGCGTGTGGGGTAGTTCCGGATCAACCGAGCAATCTTTTATGTGAGTTGCAAACAAAAATTGATGAGAAAACGTATTTTAAAAAGATAAGAAAGATGTCGTTTATATATTTTCGAAATTAATCAACATCTTTCGGAATATAACGATTTATCGGTAAAAACAACTTTGGATGTTAATCAATATTTGAATATGACAGTTTCTAATCAATGTGTTTTATTTATTTACAGACTGCGGTGCCGATTCCTTAGCTGACGTCATATTTGTTTACGACGCTGCTGGCCTTGGTGCCCGCAAGGCACGCTTGCTTACGTCATTTGTACACGACGTCAAGCGGGGTCTGCAAACCGCCCCGGACGGGTTGAGGATAGGCCGCAGATCTGACAACTGTCCCTCCAACAGTAACATTGACCTGACAACTGACACCAACCTTCGAGCATTCAATAGCATCCAATTCCCTGGAATTGAAACGTTACTCGGTCAACTTCGAATGGTATTCCCAAATAGATTAGATGCCAAGAACTTAGCCGTTGTATTTGTAGACGAAAGTACGCAAAACATTGAGTTGGCAACCAGGGTTTTGAAAGGAGATGTAAACTTCCATGTCATGGTGGTTGCCATAGGTGACCTGTCGTTAGCCAGACTGGCCAGTGACCTTGCCTCCTTGCCCCACAATGACTACTTGATGAACGTTCCCTCGTATATGTCACTTGGTGCTTACCGATACGAGTTCCTCCAGAAGCTCTGCTATCTCATCACAAACGAGCCAATGTATTTACGAGATGCTAGAGTCAGGGAAACGCGTAACCTGTAAAACAGACGACTTCAACAGAACTGAAATCAGTTTGCCGACTCTTATTCACAAGATGCAACCGGTAATGCAAACATAGTTTTTACGGGCAACGTTTACATTACCACATGCAGGAAAAATGTAGATAATTTGTGTCATTTAAAGATGTTAATAAACTTGCTGGTCGATTGGCTTTCTTACGGATGACTGCAACACTTATCGCTCTGTTTCACAAAGACTTAAGGGCGAAACCTATATTTTATTGTTCATCAGATACGAAAAATAACAATACATGTACCTGTGTTAAATTAGGTAGAATATTTCGTCCGCAAAAGGACGTATGATCCTAACGATCCGAAACACTAGGCGGAATGATTTCGCTGAAAGGACCGGACCGCTTCAGAAACTATGAAATACTCGAATTGTCACAAAAAACAGCGTGATCGTTTGCAAGTGTCAAATTTATTTACTTATCGAATTTGTACCGCAACTAAGTAATGCACGGGGACAGGAATGGAGTGAAAGACATATCGAAAGAGAGTGCAAAAAGGGAGAGAACCGCAATAGATTTTCTTTGTAAAAACTGTATATGAATGTATGATTATATACTTTGTTATTTTAGTATTTATATAAAACAATAAAGATAAAACAATGAGAAAATGTGGATTATTTTGCTTTTGTTCACATTTTAAGTTAGCACACAAATTATTTAACGAATCACTAACACAAAAACACTGATCAATAAAACTGATTCGTGCCATTTTTTGTCTGAAATGATTATGCATCGGGTTCAAAGCTTTTACATCTTGCAAGTGGTTTAAAATTTTATGAAAGAAATCAATTATTCTAGTATAAACATTAAGTAAATTATAGCAATCAATAATATGTGTAGTTCTTTTTATTTACTTTTTACAGACAGGCATTGCTGTCATACATCCTTTCACCAAGTTATATTGTTTAAAACATTTTTATTGACAGAGCTTTTGGTCGACATAATCACTAGTATAGAATGACAACAATTTCTTTGACTTACGAATACCACCTCAGTCAATTTTAGAAACACCAATAAATACGTATATTTACAATAATCATATCTTCTAAACGACTTTAGAAATAAACCTTGAAACGTTGCTTGGTCCCAACTTTTCCGTCAATATTTGCCATGACGTTGAACATATACAACTACAGTATACAAAATCATAAACAAACCTAAAACATAACATCAGATGCGCTACCAAAGTATCGGAGTGGACATCAAACGTTTTTGAAAGTATGCACGACGTTTGTCCATACAGAAGTAGTCCACCTATAAAAAAGGATTGATTAAAGTTTATTCACTATTTACTAGAAAATTCAACACAGTAATACAATTTATTATAGTGCAATTTCAGAGGATGATTAAACAAGCTTAGCGCTTATATATATTACCTGTGTTGACGCTGTTAATCATTAACATGAAACCATTATGCTATACTATTATCATATAATGTCAGAATCGAAAATACGATAAAAAACGAATATTGATGGGCTAATAAAAAACGTATTTTGAACTCAAAACAATGAAACAATGGCAGAACATAAACTAAATTGTATTGAGATCCTCGAAAAAGTACAAGGAGAATAAATTAAGGTGTTACATAAGGGTAGGCGTCTTCTGACTTATCCGCTACACTTGCTGTGTAAATCTATGTTAAATCCAAGTGATGTCACGACCTCAAAGTGAGTAACGGAGTAGTGTCAAGTTGACAGCGTAACAACAAGACACACCATGGAGCATTATCACAAACGTCGATTAGTATGAGGAGGTTGAAAGATAGAGTTGTCCTGCTGAGCTCATTATCCTCGACAAATCATCGGGTAAGGCAATCAAAAATATCATCTCTCCGGCTTGGAGATTTCTCTGTCACACCCTCAAGCTAGGGGAAGATTCTTTTCATCAGTCGTTATCAATGTCTATTTCTCGTAACGCTTTATAGTAAATTCGTGCGTCAGTTTGCGACTACAGTCACTAACAAAGGCGGCATATTCCGAACATGCCTTTGAATATCGAATCAAATGCGCCATGTAAACACCACAGGGAGAAGGAATATACCTCTGGAGAGAGGTCCATAGTACCATTATTAAATCATCAGGTTGTCATACTGCGTAGTAGTAAGTGGTCCATGATGGGCATGTATGGTGTAAGTATGGATCGAGACATGTATGGTGTAAGTATGTATCGAGATAAGTGCAAAACGTCGGCTTTAAAATCTTGCTACTGAATTCAACACAGACATTACCAATTATTTTCTCGACTTTGTCTTCAATATACATCATCCTTACTTTTGTTTGTCGTGTTTTCCACAAATATGCTTCAAAATAGGTCACACTCATTATATTATATTTGAATAGACGTTAGATTTTCTTGAATAAGAAAGCTGCCGTGTTAAGAGAAGGCGGCGTTCCTCCAGTTAAGTATGCGGTATGGAAGTGTATTGAGAGGAATAGCCAATGGTTCTGAAAGATGAAACCTTTTTTAGGAAAGAATTGTAAAGATCGAACAAAGTTTATTTTTAATTCTTCAAATCCCCATGCCATAAGTTACACTTCTAGAGCATGCAGTGTCACGATACGACTATAACCCTGATTTTAAACGTACGAAGGACTACAGTAAAAAGTCAGGATAATATCGCGGGCGACTCTGCTGAAACTAGCAGTGTCAGCGATAAAACATTTGTGGTATAAATGTATTTGAAATTTCAGAATCTGTTCAAACAAATAGGTCATGTCATGATCAGGTATAACAGATATCCGAAGGGGTAGTACAATTTTATACAGTTTCACGTAAAACTATTATTTATTCTTTCGAAAAATTGGAAAAGAGGATTTTGTTCTGCTGTTGCAGGGTTTTGTTTTAATTGAACAGCCTGTAGGAAATAGATTGGAATAGCTGCAATAAATGACAAGAAAGATGACAAAAGTAACTGAGGAGAAAACAATAGGAAAGACATCATGAACGCCATTAAAACCGATAGCGAAACCAGGTGTTCACGAAAAAGGTTTACCTACGATTGGTCCGTGGAACGACATTCATTTGTGCCCAGCGTAGGTTGAATCATCTGTTATAGGCAACCCTACAAATGAAGCTTAGTTTCCATTTGTCACCTAGACATTTTTTATCCGGTAATCCTAATCATTACTGACAACTTGCATTGAATGAGCTGCAATATGTGAACTCAATTGGATGCAGTACTTAATAGTTAATACTGCGGAAAGGAAGGCTATCCATCCTGTAGTTAAATTGTTGTTTGTCATTCGGTGAGTGGGAGTATGTGTATGAGTAGTTTTATAACAAATAACACTGTTTATTACATACATGTATAGAGTGCTCACTGACGGGTATGACTGGTAAAGCTTAAGCACTCATATCATTATAATTAGGAATGTGACGGATCTTAATTAAAACAAAAGGCAAAATTCTTTTAAGTGTTTAATTTACAAAAAATATGTAAAAATATAAAAAATGGTTGTAGTCATAACATAACATCTTTGACCAAGAACAAGAATAAAACGAGTTACAAAACAACAAACATAAACAATTCACCGGCAATATACCAATATAACTTGGAGTTACCTCCCTTGGCTTGGTTGTGATTTAACAATTTTGTAGTTCTGGGTCTACCTTTGGCAGTATTGTTCCAATCAAATCGCCCACATACGATCTCATCTTGATCTGTCTCATTTGTATCTATTGTTTGAATTAACACTTCTATAAATAGCAATGACAATAGAAGAAGAACCAATATGAGAAATGAATTAAATGGGTACAGATATCAATGGACGGCAACGTTGTAGCGTAAATTACAATTTGATATGGAAAAATTCCACGTCCAGGACCGGGCAGAGTAACTCCAGGAATGCGTCCTTGTATGAGAACAACTCCCTGTACGTCGGTACCCGGATGAAGGTGTTGTGTGACAGGTAGGGGATAACTGTAGACTCGTCCGCTCCGATCACAACCGTGACGAAATGCGTATCCGGAGACTTTGCCATTTGTTTCACAACTTCGTTGATGTTGTGAAGCCTACTATCAAGGAACACGACGGCAACGGATTTGGCGCCTATTCTGCCGCCATTTGGAGAAGAGAAACCGGAAGCACGAAGTTTTCTTATCAAATCGGTGATACCTGGAAGTACCTGGTTAGACCAAACGTGGATATCGGCGGGTGATGAGAGTGCGCTGTACGCATCATTCAAGCAATCGTATAACATGCGTCCTATGCGGACGTTTCCGGAGGGGATGTCTAAACTCTGGACAATCTTGGCGACAAATTTGGAAATGTAGTTGGTTTTCATCTGTCCGAGGGAAAGAACATCATACATGAAAACGACATCCGACATATCCCGGCTTCCACAAACTGTAAAACATAAAAGCCATTCATGTACAAATTATCATCTAACATGAATATTTTTATATCTTAATTTATTCATTTATTCTATCCGTTTTTGTCAATACAATTCATTTTGACTTTGCTTCTCTTGGTTTTGTTTTGTTTTCATGTTCTTTTTTTATATCAAAACACAACGTGGTCATTTTTAATCAGTACTTACGTTTTTCAATATCCACTTCACACGTCCGTGATGCCAGAAGATCTTTGATGGAATCCAATGCTCTGAAGCTCCTCACCTGGAACACGTACTTATCATGGGGTTTGTTACCAATGTTTTGGAGTTCCTCAAGTTGGGCGCCGTTTCCTATACCAATGGCAAATAAATATATTCCTTGGTCACGGGCAAGTTCTGATTCCTGTTTTGTCAGGAGTTGGTCACGCGACAGTCCATCAGTGAGGACGATGATAATGTGTGCGACGCCCTCCCGTCTTCTCTCCTCAGTAAAACCTCTTTCTCTGACAAATCGGATGGCATCTGCCGTATTTGTAGTACCATAAGAATAAGGGATTCTCTGAATAGCTTCTGATAAACTGTTTGCGTCGTTTGCAGATCCGAGAGGAACGTCAAGATTGTACTCGTTACTGAAGGTGACCACTCCAACTCGGGTCTTGTCCTGCGAGATGTCAAACCGGGAAACCATGTTCTTGACAAATGTCTTCTGGCGCTGGAAATTAAACCTTCCAATACTGGTTGAGGAATCCATCAGGATGTAAATATCAGCTGGCTTTCCGGTGCAGGCTAACGATTAGAAATGAAAAAGCATGTTTAGTGTCACATTTACATTATTAAATCAAATCTCGAATAATGATTGATATTTTAAACATTATAATATTAAACGGATAAAATGTATGATTCAACGTATTTGTTCCTGAACTATGAAATAAGCATCATTGTATCACATCGCCAATACAGAAGGATAATCTAAAAATGACTAAAACAGGAAATCTACTCAGAAACCTTGTCGCTCCGGAATGGCATCTTACCTTTGATGAAGAATCCCGGGTCAATATCCCCGATAGGTGGGAGTGGCCATGATGTTGTCCTTCGTGGTGTGTATCGGTAGTATGGGGTTGTACGCGGAGCTCGTGTTGTGGTGGTAGTTGTAGCCATTTGAGTTGTAGGTCTAGCAGTTATAGGCCTAGCTGTTGTAGGTCTATCTGTTGTAGGTTTAGCAGTTGTAGGCCTAGCAGTTGTAGGTCTAGCTGTTATAGGCCTAGCTGTTGTAGGTCTAGGGGTGGGGGTAGTGGTGGTGGGAACAATACTTCTTGTTGAAGACCCTGGAAAATGCAAAACAATAAAAATCATAACGCTAAACAACAACAAAAACCAATACAAAGTCAGGCCTGAATTAAGATGGAATTTGTTTCCATTCTTGTTCACGAAATGGGAACAGGTTTTTATTTACCCAATGTACGTTTCCAGTAATTGTATTTAATTTGTGATTCTAAGATGTTTATATCTAGAGTATCACTTGCTTAAGAACGTGCTAACAGTGCCAATAAGAATTATCATAATACATACATAATGTATGGAACGCTAGGTTCCCCCTCACGCATGCTGACTAATATTTTGTTTATTATTTATGACACACATATTTTATCTACTTCTGTTCCGGTATTTCTGCATCGTTGCAGACATCACTATACTTTTGGCATCCACTCGATCATAAAGGCGAGTTAACTCAACAACCAGAACAATGGTAAACTAAGAGACTGTAGAGTTCGACTGTTGTTTATAATTCCTACCACGAGCTGACCTATGACCCTACATACGTTAGTCTGTCACGCCGGACTGACACTGCGTGCAGTCTGTACAGGAACTGTAGGCGGTAATGACTTATGTTTCCGGTTCTCTACACGACACCGCAATGTATTCCTAATGTAAGGTAATTCAAAATAGATAAACGTCCTATACATTAGCCTATAGAAAGGTAGTTTAGAGAACCATCGTTTATGCTAGACTTACAAAGCAGAGCTACAAAAGAATTCCATATACAGGATTATCAGAGATTGTTGGACCCTTCCCAGTGCTAGAATGTACAGATTGTCGGGTAAGAAAATTCTCTTCTAAACTAGATTATAACTTTAATAAAAGTTGCATACTTATTAAGTATTCTTTTTTTTATATTTATATCATTGCGTTTTATTTAAAATGCAGTAAATATATACATGACACCTTTCTTCAATAATAAATAAACGAACATTTCCTCCATTTGAGTGTTACGAAAGCTGATATATAAGCAAAACACATCTTTCTTAAATGATTTGTATATGGGACTCTTCCCTATTAAAGCATCTCTGGAGATATATGATTATGTAAAATCGTAAAAAAATGATTTTAATGATACTTGAATCCTACAATGTTACTTAATATGACCGGACTAAACAAGGCACGAAGGGTTTACAATATGCTAACTATTGATAAGGTTCACCGTATCCTCTTCAGCATTGGTTTTACGAACAGGAACTTGCCTATCACTGACAAAGCATATTAGATATGATCAAAGACCTGAGTGTATAATGTTTACTAGTATGATGAGTAGGTCTACTTATACACTTACTCATATCAACTCCAAAGGCTGGTTTAATTGGTCAACCTCCGCAAACTTGTATACATGAGTTTGAGTGCCCAATATAACAGGACTAAGTATACAATAAATGTTTGTTTGAATGATATCTTAATTAATGATGTAGATATTTGCCGTGAACGGCACTCTGTGAACTTCATTAGATCTCTTCAAAATCTTTTTACGAAACATTCATAAAAATTTAGTGCTCCTTATTTATTCGGTAATGAGATATTTTTTTACGCAATGTCGCAAGTATTCAGTAATGAGGTATATTTTGTAACCTGAACGGTCGACTGTCATAACGGGAAACGTTACAAACAGTTTTGAAGTCTATCACTCAGCTTTATATTATTATAAATCAAACGCTTTTAATATGGAATGTCTCTGAACCTAGAAACAATGTTGACAAAGCGCCCCCATAGCATTGCCAATTACATTAAACTTATAATTATACAATGGAGCTATATTTTTGGTTTGGAGCTAACGTTACCGATGCTACCGTAATTACCTCTACAAGCACGCTGTTTGAAGACATCCTTCTCGTGGAGCAGTGCGTCGTAGTTGTCCACATAGAAGAAGTACCTGTCGTCAGGGTCACTAGCAATCCCTCGTAGCTCGCTCTCCTTAACGTTCGGTCCCACCCCGATGGCATATATCTCGATGTCCTTTTCCTGAGCCGCCATGGCAGCCTTGAGTGTCTCTGTTGACCTCTGAGACTTCCCGTCCGTGATGACAATAGCGATGTGAGGCATGTTTTCCCTACCCCCATTACCCCGCGTGAACATGCGCGAGGACATGAATCGTATTGCCGGTCCGGTATTAGTCATACTTCCTTGTCTGTGTCGGATCCTCTTGATGGCGGCCTTTACGTCGATGACGTTTTTGTATCTGTTGAGTTTAAATATGACGTAGTGGTTCCTGGCGAAGGTCATAACCGCCACTCTGGTATCGTTAGGACTAACGTTGAACTGGCTGACCACACTGTCAACAAACTCAAGCTGCTTCGTAAAGTCCTTAGTCCAGATACTACTCGACGTGTCCAGTACAAACACCACATCGGCGGCCTCGTCACATAGGGACTCCGTGGCTGTAACACAACAATAGGCAATTAAAGAGAGAGTCATCAGAATATTCAGGATTGTAATATCCTCGCTCTGTTTTTACGTGTTTATCCAGAAGTCTTTATATATTTGAATGTCATGGTCATAACAGTGTACATAATTAATTGTTTATAATTCAGAATATCTATCACAACCTTGGCATTGTCTCAAACAAGTTCTCATTCAAACACTTTTTATGAAACAACCTTCAGCAAGTTTTATATGAGAACATCGAATAAAACGGATCTGATGTTCTTTTTTTTTATCAAAAGTTAGACAAAATATGGAGGATTACACATTTTGTGAATAAAGAAATGTTTAATAAAAAAGGACAAAAGTTTTGGCCTTGAATTTGTGATTATCATCTTATATGACTAATACGTTGAGTAACAACCACGTAGAACTATATACAGACATATCACATGTGCAATGAAACTCTTTTATTTTTTTATCCATGTAATTTATGTCGCGAAGCATGTATAAACATGTTCTGTGTTGTTTAGGCTAGCATATGAATGAAAGCGCACCTGTTCGGTAATTCGGCAAAATTCTCATTACACGTAACAAATTACAAAGTTGACGCATGAATAAGTTGTGTCACAATCTTATGACAAAATGCTTAAATAGTCTAGGCATTGAAGTCTTTTTCAATTCGATCAGAAAAGTAATTTCCTAAAATTCAATTTCATGTTTTACAAAAAAAACCACCCATCATTGCCTGTCGAATGAGGAATTTGAATTCAGCCAATTTGTTTTTCTAACTTTTTAAGCCCCCTTCCCAAATTCCACGCTGTTTTCAAACATAACAAAGCTAACACATGAATAGCTTGTGTCAAAACAGCCAAACAAATTAAAGTCTAAATGCGATTCAATCCAATTTCATTAAAACTACGATTCGGAATAGAAATGTTGAATGAACAACTTTGACAATTTACATTAAATTGACGTTGTGAAAACAAAACAAAAATATAATAATGATACGTTGTAACACTTATAGAATTAAAAAAAAATACATACTTCTTCGTTGAGCATACACTTGCAGGATTGCCTATGAAAGCAAAACAAACACAAATAAACATTTTGCTGTAAGTGTGATACTTTTTGTCAGACAATGAAGGCATACTATATTATTTTAAATATCAATGTTATAAATTCATGATCGCATGTCATCCTGATTGTGAAATAAGGTATAAATACTTATTCTAAATGTTCTTTATAGGGTTGGCAATTATCAAGTCTACTTTCCGTTTGTCTTTTTTAGATTACTTGTGTAATGCATCAAAGGACTTTCACATAGTCTTTATATTTTTCTAATTTAACACTTTATGAAAACTGTTGTTTTCCTGTACAAACAAAGAGTTAAAACGATCGAGGATAACAAAGAATAATAGCCAATGCTTACCAACGCTGCAAACAACAGGAACAGCTTCATTTTGGCAAAGGTTTGCTTTCAGTTCCCGGGCTGTATAGACCAGTTAGCTGGACTTGCGGTTGAAATGAATGATGAAGATGGGTTTTAGATCTTATTTATATACAAGCGTATGATTCATTTGATAAAAGTAACCCACGCGTAATTATTAAGTATGGGAATAGAAGGGTGTCGGCGTTCATTTTCCCACGAACAGTCTCAGGTAGGTACATCGTATATGGGATAAACTCCTCCCTCCTCACATCCTATTGGTTATACACCTGTCAATCACTTAAAAAGATACGATAGTCTACACATCTACGTGGTGCGTAGTATGATACACACTTGCTTTCATTGTTCCCATCTACGGCATCCCCTTAGCCTATCGCCCTCCGCTTCCTCAGCTAGGAAGCTGTGGTAGTATGAATGGAGCGTGAGGTCATCTAAGGAAGAAAAAGTTTCTGATGATTGACGACCCTTACTATGTAATGAATGTGAATCAATCGCTCGACTTACTCAAGATGATCAGTGATAACATAGTTTGGGGATTATAGTAGGAATGTGTGATTTCATAAAATCAATCTAGAAGGTTCTAAGCATGTTTTTAATTTTTAATTTCAATGCTTACACGGTGTCTTCCATCTTCATCATACCTCAGTCAGTACAGATTAATTCGTTAATCTTAGGATTCCTCAACATGTCTAAGGGGAGGAATATATATACATGTTACCCATCCCTCTGATTGCCCGTAGTAATAGGGTGTTATAGGGACGGAGTGTTTCGACGCTACTCTGACTGCTGGCTTTATTGACACTGCACATCGCGACGAAGTGAGTTGCTTTCAGCGGGTTATTAACGAGACACTTGCCATTTGTACTCTTTGCTTGACGAAGGTAACAGGCGATTTCGAAAGCTCGCAGTTTTTAATTATTGTTACTGTTAAATTCAACATGCCGTTTTGCATTTGTCATTTTATATGCCATAAGTGAGTCTATTTTAAAAAGGAACGCAATAACAAACATTAGCAAATCATAACCTACACGTAATGTTGAAATCAATCTCATCATCACAAATGACTTTTGTTCTCAAACAAGCTACGTGTGTATCTTGTAACTCGTTGAGATCATGCGGCACAATCAAATGTTAAGTCTAGACATTTAGAAATGGAGATCGGATTCAGTTCCCTTCAAATATTCACCAAATCATTGATATAATGAGTTTTAGTATAAGAACGAATCTTATGCATACGGGCCTTCTGTTTTTTTTTTTATATACTATTGGTTCCAATACTCTGTCATATATCTCAGATGTTTTTGATGATTCTCAACAACAATACCTTGTTTCCCATCTGTTAGGTGATTATTTGAGATAATTGGGCCTGACCTTCGTTTTATGCGTCTTCGGTTCCTGTTGTCGTTATTTCAACATTTTGGTGTGTGTGTGATTCGGTACGTGTGTATGTACGCTGTGTTAAAAGGTAGTTCACTATCCTTCATGTCAGTTTTTTAAGGCGTCTTTCTGACGTGATTTCAACTTCCTGTTTCAGCAATCATCCAGATATACATTTTATTCCGTATCTTGATAACCTTCTTACAAAAATTATAGAGAAAAAATGTTTCATTTCTAAAAAGAAAAACAACTTACTTGGGTTTTGTTATTGCATATATCAGTAAAAAAAGAAATTAGAAAACAATAGCCACAATCCGTTATTTCAAACGGTAACTTCAAACAGAAACTTACATTCTCTTTATAACTATTTAGTCTAGTTAAACCTTTTGGAATCGATATGTATCGGAGTCGTTGATTAACCAGTGTCATCATGTTTAACGTAAGTAAACAATTTACCAGAAGTGGCAGTGTTATGACTATATATACTGGTCATACACATGTATAGCAATAGTATTATGGAATCTTAGGATAAATGTGGAAAAGAAATACTATATGGCGCTGACAATAGATACACAGATACACAGCTTGTCAGTTCAATACCGCTTTTAACAAATTCCGATAAGAGCATGGACATTTGAATAACATCAATCATTAATAGTTGAGGTGAAAAGTAAATGAGACAAGCATTTCCCATTAGAGTAATTAGTGTTCACAGCATTAGTTTGATAATTAATTATCAGAAAGTATATTCAGTTCATAAATTTAACTACGGGTGGATAATAAAATTGGTTCTCTATAATTATGGAGTATTGGTTGGTTTCTCCAGTGATGGTCTGGGCAAGACTCAAAAGATTTAATAGTTCTTGATGACATTATCTTAGGTGACAGGCTGTTTCAGATGTCAACAGTTATGTGACAAAATTAAATCTTTTTCATGTTTAAGCGCGTTCCATCCTTGATTAGTTTATGTTCATGATATATACTGGCATGTTGCTGTTATGAACATTCATGTTACAAATGTAATTCATGTTACAAATGTAATTCATGTTACAAATGTAATTCATGTTACAAATTTAATTCATGTTACAAATGTAATTCATGTTACAAACGTAATTCATGTTACAAATGTAATTCATGTTAGAAATGTAATACATTGTTAGAAATGTAATACATTGTTAGAAATGTAATACATTGTTAGAAATGTAATACATTGTTAGAAATCAAAGACACGTATATGGTGTTTAAATAAAAATAAAAAAAGAAGGAATTCGTTGCTAAAACAGATATAATTAAAACTGGTGGCCGATGCCAAACAGGAAAACATTTTCATAAATATACTTAATNGTCTATAGTTATATTATGTCTGTAGTCTATAGTTATATTATGTATGTGGTCTATAGTTATATTATGTATGTAGTCTATAGTTATATTATGTATGTGGTCTATAGTTATATTATGTCTGTAGTCTATAGTTATATTATGTATGTAGTTTATAATTATATTATGTATGTAGTCTATAGTTATATTATATCTGTAGTCTATAGTTATATTATGTCTGTAGTATATAGTTATATTATGTATGTAGTCTATAGTTATATTATGTCTGTAGTCTATAGTTATATTATATCTGTAATCTATAGTTACNTTAGAAATGTAATACATTGTTAGAAATGTAATACATTGTTAGAAATCAAAGACACGTATATGGTGTTTAAATAAAAATAAAAAAAGAAGGAATTCGTTGCTAAAACAGATATAATTAAAACTGGTGGCCGATGCCAAACAGGAAAACATTTTCATAAATATACTTAATCAAATAAAGAGTATTTCTTTGGTTGGTTTCTGAAAATATTCGAGAACTTGATAATTTAACGAAGAGGGGGATAGCTGACATTAATTATCTTCTCGTGTCTGGAATTTAATGATGTAATCAAGCATACCATACAATCTGGGATTTCCGGAAAAGCATGTGTTCAAGTGGAATTCACCGTATGACACATGCATGTTATACCGAACATGTCCGTGTGTCTATCAAGTCATGTTACGAATGAGAAGACCATGCATCACTTCAACACATACACACTGCACATGGTCTCAAACGGCCGTCGCTATCACAGGAAGCACACCAGTATTTGATACGGTTACATGCATAATCTATTAGCTATTTATCTTCATTTGTTTTGTATGGTAAATGTTGACTTGACTATGGAAATAAAACTAACTTATGCTGACATGTTATTGAAACGAAATGGCTATATATGATAATGTAAATGTTATGAGAGTGATGTAAGGAAGGTGATATTCTTTATATCATTTAGTGATATCATATCTGTAGTCTATAGTTATATTATGTCTCTAGTATATAGTTATATTATATCTGTAGTATATAGTTATATTATGTCTGTAGTCTATAATTATATTATGTATGTAGTCTATAGTTATATTATGTCTGTAGTCTATAGTTATATTATGTATGTGGTCTATAGGTATATAATGTATGTAGTCTATAGTTATATTATGCATGTGGTCTATAGTTATATTATGTCTGTAGTCTATAATTATAGTATGTATGTAGTCTATAGTTATATTATGTCTGTAGTCTATAATTATAGTATGTATGTAGTCTATAGTTATATTATGTATGTGGTCTATAGTTATATTATGTCTGTAGTCTATACTCATATTATGTCTGTAGTCTATAGTTGTATTATGTATGTAGTCTATAATTATATTATGTATGTAGTCTATAGTTATATTATGTCTGTAGTCTATAGTTATATTATGTATGTAGTCTATAGTTATATTATGTCTGTAGTCTATAATTATATTATGTATGTAGTCTATAGTTATATTATGTCTGTAGTCTATAGTTATATTATGTATGTAGTCTATAATTATATTATGTATGTAGTCTATAATTATATTATGTCTGTAGTCTATAGTTCTATCATGTATGTAGTCTATAGTTATATTAGGTATGTGGTCTATAGTTATATTATGTCTGTAGTCTATAGTTATATTATGTATGTAGTCTATAGTTATATTATGTATGTGGTCTATAGTTATATTATGTCTGTAGTCTATACTCATATTATGTCTGTAGTCTATAGTTATATTATGTATGTAGTCTAAAATTATATTATGTATGTAGTCTATAGTTATATTATGTCTGTAGTCTATAGTTATATTATGTATGTAGTCTATAATTATATTATGTCTGTAGTCTATAGTTATATTATGTATGTAGTCTATAATTATATTATGTATGTGGTCTATAGTTATATTATGTCTGTAGTCTATAGTTATATTATGTATGTAGTCTATAGTTATATTATGTCTTTAGTTTATAATTATAGTATGTCTGTAGTCTATAGTTATATTATGTATGTAGTCTATAATTATATTATGTATGTAGTCTATAGTTATATTATGCCTGTAGTCTATAGTTATATTATGTATGTAGTCTAAAATTATATTATGTATGTAGTCTATAGTTATATTATGACTGTAGGCTATAGTTATATTATTGATATAGTCTATAGTTATATTATGTCTGTAGTCTATAATCATATTATGTATGTAGTCTATAGTTATATTATGTCTTTAGTTTATAATTATAGTATGTCTGTATTCTATAGTTATATTATGTATGTAGTCTATAATTATATTATGTCTGTAGTCTATAGTTCTATCATGGCTGTAGTCTATAGTTATATTATGTCTGTAGTCTATAATTATATTATGTATGTAATCTATAGTTATATTATGTCTGTAGTCTATAATTATATTATGTATGTAGTCTATAGTTA